TTATGCATCTAACAGGGTGAGATGAAAAAACTGCGACCAACTTCAGACTGCTCTCATTTCTAAGCCACTCGTCCGACAGCTATTTATATTGTATACAAGCGTACACAAGCATTTTGATGAGAATTTTTCAGAAAAAAAGTTTTTCGTGATGGAACTCAATCGTGATTTCTTTATATTTGGCTGGAAAACCAAAAGTGACTATCGTCGGAGCACTCCAGCATTTAAATGTGAATAAATCTCTTGCGTCTCGTACCATCGCTCGTTACCGTGATACTTGTAGCGTAGCCCGACATCAAGGAAGTGGACGGAAGAAAAGAGCAACATCAGCAGAAATTGTTCGAAAAGTAAAGAAGCGACTTGATCGGAACCCGCGCCGCAGTGGCCGAAAAATGGCTCGTGAACTGAACATATCGCAATATTCCATTCGGCAAATATTGAAAAAAGAGCTCGGGGTAAAGCCACGAAAAATTCAAAAAGTGCAAGAACTTACACCACATCAGAAGGTTTGATGTAAAATGTGATATAAGTATTCGATATTGATAAAATTTGGCATATCGCCATATTTTTGACTTTATTAAAGAAATTGTGAATATATAATGCAATGGGGAAATCATAAAACAAAATCGACTATGTTTTTTCTCAAAATTTGAAAAAAAAAAACGATTTGAAAACAACAATCAGGGACTTATTTCGAACTTATATTACTTTTCGTATATATAAATATATAATCAAGTGTTAAAACTTGATATCTGTTGGAATACCGATTAAATTATTGTACAGATTTGAATAAGAGAAACGTTCTGAAAAGCCAGGTATATAAGTGGAACGTTTGTAAAATTTTCCTGGTTTTTGTTCAAATATAAACAAATGAATATAAACAAATGTAATTATTATAATTGTTAATTATGTTCAAAATTTTGTTTTTGTTATTTGGTATTTGTTTTTTTAAAGTTCAATCCCTGATGATGATCGTCGATGTCGATCGAAATATTGGAAATAAAATGATGAAACAAATTAATTGTTTTTTATTCTACTGACCTCAAGCCAAATTAAATAAGAAAGAAAATTGAGTCCAAAGGTCAACAAAAACCATACAAACATCAAAACACGGATGGCACGCCGTAAGAAACGATAATATGCATCTTTATAAAAATATTAAACAAAAATACAAAAACAAAACACAGAATATTATTAAACAATTCTCAAAATGTAACATCAGATTAACAACAACATTCCTCATCAAGTGCAGAGATGCAGGTATTATCCACAATTTCATCTCCAACACAACTAAACACATATACAATATATTTAAAACCAATAAGACAATACCAATAAGCACCAAAACAACAGTAGTTAAACTTCTATTTAATTTCCATTTGAAAATACTCAAGCTTGTAATACTGGAAAGACACAAACAATCAAGCATTACCGATAAAACCATAACCGACATTAAAGATCATCTTTCGAATCTCTTAGAAAGAGAAGATTTCAACTTACTCATTGAGAGTGAAGATATTATTCTCCATACACAGACCGTTAAACAAAAAACGACTCATATAAACAAACTAAAAACCTTAAAACAACAACAAAATTGCTATCTCAATATACAACATAATAGAGATTGGTTCGTTAACACTACGAACGTTGACATACCAATGAATGTTGAGTGGTTACTCTCACTTGGGCCTAAATTCTCATTACCCACAACAAAGACGACATTTCCCTTCTTCAACATTATCGCTGAGGGAGAGGAATTAATACAGACATTGGATAACAAAGAAAAACAAGAGAAAGCTAGAATATAATTTTATTACGCTCATCAATGATCACATCAAGAAGACAACATTGAGTAAAAGAGAACGACTTATACCACATACAGTGGGACATATAAACAAATGTTGAAGACAAAATAAGGAAATACTTATACTTTACTCTGACAAAGGGGGAAAAACTGTAGCGATGCTAAAAACGGACTATGAAACAAAAATGAAAAAAATTAACAATATTGTTATGGATATGTGTATGTATAGATGTCTGAGGAAAGATCCAACAACAGGATTACAAGAAAAGAATAACAAAGTCATGAAATTGTTTGACTTAAACATAATATCTGTAAGTGATACATTTCGGTTGCTAACAAAAACATCGGTTCCTCCAAAAATATATGGACTACTAAAAATCCACAAGCAAGGAATCCCTCTGTGCCCAATATGTTCGTTCAATAACTCGCCAACTTATGAATTTTCAAAATATATGGCATCAATTTTAAAATGTTTAACCAGGAAATCTGAATATAATATAAAAGACGCTGTAGGATTCAAATCAAATGTTAACCACCAATATATACATAACATTGAAATACTAGTATCGTTTGACGTTGTATCTTTATTTCCAAGTATTCCTGTTAATTTGGCAATTAACACAATAAAAGAAAAGTGGAACATCATTTAGGAATACACGAATATGTCAATGAATCTATTCATAGACATTTTAACGATATGCATAAAGGACTCCAGATATTTTGTATATAACGACAAAATATTTGAACAATTAAAAGGGATGCCAATGGGATCACCTATTTCCCCTATAATTGCTGATATTGTCATGAAAGAGTTACTCGATGCAACCATGAAAACATTAACTTTAAAACCAAGAATATTAACAAAGTATGTCGAAGACATATTTTGCATTGTCCTTCTGCACAATGCAAAATATGTCTTCGACATACTTTGTTAATATTCTTGGTTTTAAAGTTAATGTTTTCATGGTTGCATCGAGTAACTCTTTCATGACAATATCAGCAATTATAGGGGAAATAGGTGATCCCATTGGCATCCCTTTTAATTGTTCAAATATTTTGTCGTTATATACAAAATATCTGGAGTCCTTTATGCATATCGTTAAAATGTCTATGAATAGGTTGACAACACCTTGAAGACACTGAATATGTATAACAAAAACATAAAATTCACAATGGAATGTGAATAGGACCTCCAATTACCATACCTTGACGCTGTTGTACTAAGACAAGGCAACCTTCTATTTCTAGACTGGTATCAATAACCAACGTCTTCAGGAAGATTAATAAATTTCCATTCCAAACATCCACGTAGAATCAAGGTAAATACCGCCACTAACTTTATTCAGAGAGTTCTAAACATCAGCGACGTCAAATTTCATTCCGATAATATTAACAAAATCAATAATATCTTAAAGATGAACGATTTCCCTGATAATACGATTAACGAACTTATAAGACACGTGAGATACAAAAGACTGGACAATATTTACAAACGTTCCACTTATATACCTGGCTTTTCATAAAGTTTCTCTTATTCAAATTTGAACAATAAAGAAAAATATCAGTTAGCATTGAGAAGCACCAACACTAACAACAATTTTTTCAGCAGAACAAAATCAAAAACTCCTCAAGATGACAAATCCAATGTTGTATACAAAATAAAATGCAATGGCGATGGGTCCAACGTATGCAATAAAGTATATGTTGGGACAACAAAAACAAAATTAAAAACACGGTTAAGTGGTCATAAATCTGACCAAAAAGCTAAAGACAAATCACTTAAACAGAAAACAGCACTTGCCGCACACTGTGCAACAACGGGACATACTCCTAATATTAAAAATGTTGACATATTAACACAAGAGAACAATTACAAGCGATGATACATGTTGGAAATGCTTCACATAATTAATGTCCCCGTTCAAAATAGAAAGAATTACAAATCAGACACAGAACACTGTGCGCAAATTTATAGAAACAGAATAGAAAGACACCGAAAAGTTTAGTCTGAAAATCTCTTTAATGTTATGTGGAAGTGAAATTGTTTTTAAGAATATAAACAAATGTTATTATAATTGTTATTTATGTTTAAAATTTTAAAAAACTAAAATGCATGTTATTTGTTTTTTAAAGTTCGATCCCTGATGATGATCGTCGATGCCGATCGAAATATTGGAAATAAAATGATGAAACAAAATTAATTGTTTTTTTATTCTACTGACCTCAAGCCAAATTAAATAAGAAAGAAAATTATATTTTTAGGATTACACGAATGAAATAAATATTTTAGGCATATTATGGCGTTTATATACTGATAAGAAATCAATATCACCAAATAAAGATTTTTAAAATATGTTTTCTTTATAAAACAAAAAGGACATTGCAACACGGGTGCAACATCCAGTTTTATGAACGCGAACAGATTTGAAACCACCTTTTTTCTTAGACCATACATTATAACCGATCATGTGTTTGGAAAGATCTGATCCGCTCAGCTCTAACAATCGTCATCAATGGAAAGAAGAAAATAAAAACTTCGTTGAAGGAACGAAGGGACTGCTAGCGGACAGCAAAAAACGAAACAAAATATGAAGTATTTGGTTGTGCACCCCTCACAAAAGGGCCAAGACTTAAAGTAGTATTAATTTATTAAGATGTGTCTTAGAATATGCAATGTCAAAAAACAGATGCGCCTGCCTTATGAGCAGAACTTCGAAAAAATCGCACGAATCCGAGTAAAGAGTAAAACTAGCTCGAAGTACAGCGGGAGCAATCTTGGGAATAGAAAAAAATGAGCAAACCCATTTTTCGTATGTTTATTTTCTGAAACCGCAGTAGCAAACAAAATAAAACCAAAAGCGTTGAAAAGCACTGTCGCTAATCTGTACCAACAAAGCATGTGATAGTGTTAATGCTTTTGTAAACACTCTCGAGTAAAAAGGAGCGAATCTGTGCCCTGCTCATGAGTAATAAAATATGTATCAGACAAGCAGGACAGTTTACTCATTTTTCTTGTACAAATGACAAATTTAAAACAAAAATATTTTAATTTTCGGGCCATTATAGCTTATTGCAAGGATAATATTGTATTACTTCGCGAAAATAACTAAAACATCTCTAAAATATAATTTTCCTTATTATACAACAAAGTTCTTCTTTATTATTATTTTTAACAAACAAAAACATATTTTACTTTCAGATATTGTCTAACTTTGATGACTATAAAGAAAAGAAGAAACCCAATGTTTCAGAAAAGCGGAAAGTCGAAGACAATGAGCAATTAAAAGATTTGAAAAAGGTACGTATTTATCTGCATTAAACAAGTTGTTTCTTCATTCAAAATGCAACAAGAATTGATGGACATCAATCAATAAAATGTTCAAACCAAGTTTACGAAATTTCTGGCTGGTATAGCTTCAAACATGTTTAATGGAAAATGTGTTCACTCTAACAATTTTTCGGCTGCCTACAATGCAATCGCATGAATGCGAACTGTCAACTGGATATTTACATAAACTGTTGTAACGTAGTATCGAAAGAAAATAACAATCGACTATTTTTTAGCAATATCTGTTGAATATGTATAATAATGAAATTAATATTCATCTAAAAGCAATACGTCTAAAAAATCTGATACACAGAAATATAAACGATCATTCACTTCATAAAAATCAAATTCACATTCAACTAGCTTCGAACACCAATTATAGAACTCACTTTTTTTGGCACTATGAATACCCGACGGTACGACACAAATGCACATTTTTTCATCCTCAATGTGTGAGCGCAAAAAAAACATCTCATAAAGAGAGAAACACACTTCATTTATTTTCTTGTCTTCATTTCTTTGAACAAATATAACCACACAAGCAGAAGAGAAACAAGTAAAAAAGCTGTAAGTTCGGCCGTGCAGAACTCTGAATACCCTCCACCATTTGGAACGAATTTGTGCCAAAAAAATAAAATCCGTTAAAAATTCTGTTAAAATGTTAAAAATACAGAATGTAGATGTTATATTAGGCTATATACGACGACGTGGACCTGCATAGGCACCTTTAGTCATAAGCCATTACAACATTCAAATGCGAAACTTGGAAAAAAATGGTGAATAATGTAGCTAAAATCATCAAAATACCGAATATAGAGAGGCTATATCAAAAAGTGGACCTGCACAGACAATTTTCTGCAATAGGCTGTAGTGTCCATAACGAACTTTAAATACCAAATTTGAAACAATTCCGGTGAATAATGTCGCTAAAATCATCAAAATACCGAATATCGGGAGGTACTATTATATGGGGGAAATATGCATACAAAAATGTATGTCATAGGCTGTAGTACCCAATACGAACTTTTAATATGAAAATTGGAATAATTTCGTAATATAATGTCGCTAAAATCATAAAAATACGGAATATTGGGAGGTACCGTTATATGGGGGCTATACGAAAACATGGACCGACATGGCCCATTTACGAACATAACCAGCCTACTAGTAAACTATGCATGAATGCAAAATTTTAGCCTTCTATCTCAATTCGTTCGAAAGATAGCGTGACGGACGCACAGGAGGAACTAGAATAGTACAAGAACTAAATACATAGAAAAATGAAGATACAGACAACGAAATGCTCTTACCGTTTATCTTCGAAAAATATCGAATCAGCAGATGTCTATATCGTTTCAGGTTTGAGTGAGAATATTGAAGTCACTCAATTCTAAAACGTTAAAAATAATAAAAACTGTAGGATACTTGTCAGTTGAAAATTTTTCTATAATAAAAGAAATGTGAAAATTACGTGATGACATCAAAAAATTCGGGAATAATCAAGTAAAATTCTAGAAAAACGATAAAATGTGTTTTCGAAGTGGCGAACTTTTCAACACTTTTCAACTTTTTTATGCTGAATTTATGAGCGTTAAAACAGTTACAATTAAAAGCCGAAAGAAACTAATATATGGCAGGCTTCTATCGTATTCTACTAAATTTGACGAATGCATTTGTGTCTGAATTGATATTCATTTAAATATTTTCCTATTTGAGATGATATTACACTTTTTAGGCACAATAAACGTGAAATTGGATGAAGATATACATATATGGGAGCTACATCCAAATCTATGCTGTATCTGATAGTTGGCACAAAATATCGTTGTAGTGGGGAGTATTTTACGGGTGTGAGGGAGTAAAATACAATATCGGATGAAACACATATATGGGACCTATAGTATATCTTCACCAAACCGATCTCGATAAAATTTGGCAAACAATTTTGACACACTTGTTTCTAGGCTCAATTTCTTTATGTGTGCCAAATTCCGTTCTATTTGGGCTAATATTACACATTTGGTTCACAATAAAAGGCAAATCAGACGATGATATACATGGGAGCAATATCTAAATTTTGACCAATTATCTCCAATTTCTAGAGGATTCGTACTTGGACCAAACAAATGTATTGCACAAAGTTTCATCAAGCGTTGTGAGGGTCATTTCAAAAAGTGGACCTGCTTCTTTCATATGACAATAATTCGTCCAATGAGAACTCAAAATGCAAAATATATTGGGACTGCAATCAGTGAAATACCGAATATAAAGGACGCAAAATAGAAGAGCGAATTCGACATTTAGTAAGAAAAGGATTTCTATTCTTCCAGAAATTCTTCCTAAACTTTCAAGATACCTTAAATCGCTTTTGCAGGTCATGATATGGGTCATAACCCACGATAAGGGTACAAACCGCTTTCAAGTATATTTTACATTTTAACCATATTTTTCATACTAATTTCAGCCAATTTTGGTAATTTGAGAAGAAACCATCGTTGCAAAAAATGATTACGTTTTGGTATAACAATCATATGATTTAAGCTATTTTCGGGGTCGTGGACCATTTTTTTTAATTTTTTTTCGCCCTTATTTGGCATCTTGGTGTCTATCGGGGTATGAAACCTCTTCGCATATAATTTTCAATTTTCGGAATAGAACCCATCTTGGTCTTGACCACATTCTTCAATTGGTTTGGCTAAAAAATTGAATTCAGGTTACCCTGGAGTAGAGAACCATCTTACGGATAATTGTCACAAAGGCATTTATTTAGGTTTTTCCCCACATTATTGTACCCGCAAGTCCACATTTCCAACTAATGTGTGGTCAGAAAAGAAAATTTTGTACTCTACTGAATTTGTAACCCCCAAGAAACTATTGGTTGGGAACGTAGATTTGGGATGTACGTCTATATAAAATAAACTCCGAAATGCCAAATGGGTACTCATTGAGTGGGAAATTGTGGCAAATTCCGGCTCATTTGAATGGAAAATGTTGCTAAGCTCTTTACAATCCCAAAAATTGAGCTGAGTTTTCACATGGGGCTATTATAGATGTTCTTTGTCATATAGGTTTTTAACACTCAGATTAAAGCATAATGCTGAAAAATAAGATCAGGCTATTCAAAATATCTAAAACTGACGGTAGTTGAGCATCTATTATATTTTTTGCCATGAGTATTTATTTCTATTTAGAGATTACTATGGAGTCATTACTTATAATAACAATTGTGCCGCTTACATACGTCAGATCTGTGATTTATTATGCTTTAAAAATATGTATTAAAGACTAAAAGTACGGGCCAGCAACGCGAACCGGCCCAGATAGTTATTCATAATTTATTCATAGAAATAAATATCCATGACAACAATTTCAATACAATAATTTTTTTAGAAAATGTTGATCTTTAGTTGTGGTGGTGCAAGGAGTGGACCGTTTAAACAAATGTCCTAAAACTGGTTTCAGGTCTAAACCCCTTATCTCGATGAGACCCATTTTGGTCGTTTCAAATCGTATAGCTATATGGCCAATGGTATAATATGTATCTGTGAGTTGTGTCTAGTCATTCTGCTACTTTTTTTCCACTATCTTGATTGGGGTGGAAGTCGTCCCTTTGAATCCGTTTGCCTTTATTAGGTGTTTCTCGTGTTATCCAAGGCTTTTTTAGACATACCTCCTATTTCGATTTCGGTGGTTTACTAACGTAGCCACCGATGGTCATTTTAGATATTCGCAATTTTTTGCCAACGCGTTTCTTTGCGGTGAAAAGGAAAGCTAGAGAGACGAAATTACAAACTCGACACTGTGCGACGCGTTTCGCCATTGTTAATGCGGCTTTGCAAGGGCCGTGCGTGCGTACAGGAAGATGACATTCTTCATTTAAAATGATCTACAAAATATTGTTTATGGCAATTGTCAATATTTCATTTCTGGTAGCCTTATAGTGTATACAAACGGACATTTTTGTTTGTGTATATTTATTATGGCGAATTATGCTATATGAATGACGGCAGCGTTACCTTAAATATTTCGTAATCCCGACGTATTTGGGTAATATTCAGGGCCTTACCCAAAATTCGACGTAACATACACAAATGTTCAACTTCCCCACTATAGTAAAATGTTTTACACGTCCTGTATGTAATTAGGAAAAAATTTAAATATTTTATTATCTTTTATGACCTGGGTTAAAAAATAATCCAGTGGCGTCCATGATTATATTGGCTCAATAAAAGTACCTAATAAGAACAATAATTAGCAAAAGTAATTGTTTCCCAAAATCAAACACGCGTAAAAATTTTTATTTTACGCCAGGTTCATATCTTTAAACTTACCAATTAATAAAGTTGTAGAAACTGATAATTTTCAAAATTCTCCCATTTCCAATTCGTTATATTTTCCAATTACAAACATTTACATTTTGTGTATTATTCGTTTCTATTTTCAACATACAAAAAAAGAAATTGTTCAATTGTCAATGTTGAAATTGTTCAACTTTGAAGTTTCGTACGTCCGACGTATTTGTTTAACATTTATATAAATACATGTGTTTTAATTGTTTGGCAAAAAACGTATCCTGAGTACGTCGGATTTTAGGTAATGCTGTAAAATAAATGTACTATTTGCTTTCGGATATATTTTTAACATCTGTAATCAGTTTTCGTGAATTATTATATGTTTTCTGGTCCTTGAGAATCGTACCTACAATTTTCTAAGAACCTTTTTGTAGATCATTTTAATTGCGGAGAAAGGCATCTTCTGGTATTAGGAAGCATGAAATAATCTACCAAAAAATCTTGTCCGATTTAAATCGAGAAATATGACCACAAAAATAAGCAACACAAGCCGCAACAGATAAATGAGTCGATTTCATGATGCACTTCGACATTGTAAGCACAAAATTCGTCGCGCCATAATTAGGAATTTCGACCTACGGTGAATCTGTATTACACTCGCATATATAGGATGAAAAGACTGCAACAAAGTCAAACGCCACAATTTTTACATTTTTATTTAAATTTTATTGAATGAAAGCAAAAATGTCGGAAATAGCATCAAATTTTAGAATAAGTTTAGATTTGTTCGAATTGGTCACCTTTGGCACGAATAATGGCCTTCACAATGAAACCGTCACACGCTTCCCGAATGTTGCTTTGGGGTATTTTGGCCCATTCCCGGCGAAGCGCTTGCTTGAGTTGGTCGTCACTTTGGTATTTTTTAGTGCCAACCTTGCTTTCCAAAATACTCCAGACACAATAGTCCAACGGATTGGTATACGGAGATTTTGGTGGCCATTGTGCGCTGGAAATGAAGCGAGGAACCTCATTTTGTAACCATTCGTAAGAGGCGCGTGCTGAGTCCTGTTGGAATATCCAAGGTCTGCGGGTAAAATGTTTGCGTGCCCAAGGCTTTAATACACCCTCCAGAATATTTTCGCGATATTATAATATTAGGCATTTATTTTGATGCCACGGTCGATTTATAAGAGCGAAGAGCGACCATCGGCTGTTATGGCGGCCCACACCATCACTATGGCCGGCGCTTGATTTCTGGTGGCCAAACGAAGTTGCACATTTTCAGCTGACCTCTTTGGCAAGTAAACACGATCATTTTGTTTGTTTACAAACTGCTGGACAAGGAATGTTATTTCATCGGAGAAAACCAAATTCGGCAGTTCACCACTTTCGGCCAAGCGAAGTAACTCTTTAGATCTTTTCTGCAGCGGTGTCACTGGAATAATTTTAACAGCTGTTGTAAGAGTGGCTTAGAAATGACAGCAGTCTGAAGTTGGTTGCAGTTTTTTCATCTCACCCTGTAAATTTTTTGTTTAATTCCTTCAACTTTGCACACAATGTTCTTCCTGTAGATATTTTGTATGAGCTTGTCATTCGGAAGTCACTAGTGACATTGGCAGTAGTTCTTACGTAGGCATTACCAGACATTGGAACTGATGTGTCAGTAATCCATTAGGGTCATATGAGGACATTGGACCTTGTTACTCAGCAGTCAATTTGAGCTATAAAAATTCATTAGTACCAGAATTGTTGAACCAGTTAATCCGAATTTGAGGAAATATTTACAGAATTTCATAACTAGCTGATTTGCACGGCGAATGTAATACTAATTAGGTGTGTCCTGCAGGAATTGTCCATCTACTTCTCTCTAAGAGAGTAAAGCAAATGGAATCCCTGCAAAAACTAGCAATCAGCTGGTTTGTCAAAACAAAACCATTTGTGCATCATAAACAAAGGTTACTAATTAATCAAGATTTTATACTGCTTGTCCAAAAATAAATCACCGGAAAAGGAGAGGAGGAAGAGTTGCAATTGAGTGCAGGAAGAAATTTGTGCAGCAAGATTTGCGATCTCTCGCTAAAAGAACTTTCAAAAATTTTCTATCAAATCGCCCCCTTTTGCAGATCTTTCGTGTTAACAGTAGTAACACAATTTGCAACAATTGTTACAAATTTTAGGGTAACCAGAAGTAGGAATATATGGATCAATCCTATCATGAACATATTCATGTCTGTTACAATTTTACTAATATTATCAAGTCTTCCTATTTCTTTATTTGAATAAAACACATAAACTTATAACGATCGTTTTTATTTTTAGGCCAAACTTGAAACAAAGGCTCTGAAGGCAAAAAGGCCAGGTTTTACCGATGAAAGATATCATGAAACTTCTTATTATATTGAAAACGGTAATGTTTATATTTGGCTTTTGTAAATCACTGATTTCTGACATAATTTTTTTGTATATCCTTCAGGTTTACGGAAAGTTTATCCCTATTATTTTACCTTTACAACATTTACAAAGGGCCGCTGGGTCGGAGAGAAAATTCTAGATGTATTTTCGCGAGAGTTTAGAGCCCATCCTGCAGAAGAGTACGAGCGCTGCATTAAATCTGGCACTTTAACTGTAAACTATGAGAAAGTGCCAATTGATTACAAGCTTAAACATAATGATTTATTGGCGAATATTGTTCATAGGTACTCTTATTTAATATATATTTGTTGTTGTCATGGTACATTAAGGAGGAAGAAAAGCTTCGTAGAACTACAGAAATAGAACTCTGTGGCTAGGACTGCTTCCTATCAGAAGTATTCAATGAAATATACAACAAATGGTCTGTTCCAGATCTGCAAGAATGTAAATGCTTTTACTACGATAAGCGATTTTCCCTTTATGATATCGGAAAAAATGCAAAACTAGTAGATTCTTGCAGGTTTTGGAACAAAGCCAAATTGTTTTTATTTCTTTAATTTTTTATCTCATTTTAAAAATTAGTTAAATAGCGCGAAAAATGAATGAAATTCCTGGATTTTCTTTCAAAAATATGATCTAAACTTTTTATTCTTTGAATTCAATGGCAAATCTGGGCAATAGCTTTAATATACGCCCTGCAATGTACGTTTCTTCCAATTATAGTAAAATAGTTTAGTTTTATTTTTCAAACAATAAACGCACACTTGTGTATTGGATGTGTATTATATAATAAAGCAGATATACTTTAGTATCGAACTGGGTAGTATGCATACATTTTAAAAAAGTTAATTTTTTTACTTTAAAGTGTTGATAAAAAAATTAAAAATCATTTCTGAATATAATAATTTATGAGTTTTTCTACTTGTTTTGTTCTACTTTCAATCATATAAAACTCTGTCAATTAAAAAATGTACTATTATAGATATTTTTGCATGTCTTTCTCTATAAATTTGAAAAGTTCTGCCAGTTATTGTGCGGAGAAATACATTTCTATTTTGGGTAAATTTAAAATAAATTACAAGACACATATTTTTGTACGACAGCATTTGAAATATTATATATTTTTATAACTTTTTATTGCGGATACAAAATCAGAAACCTGTGTGCAATTTTTAATTGTAATTGATATGATTATCGTTGACCTTTGGATTATCTATCTAATGTAAATATATGATAACTTTATTGTTTGCAGACATGAAGTGCCCGTAACAAGCGAACCCATTACAATTGTTCACATGGACGATGATATTGTTGTTGTGAATAAGCCCGCATCAATACCAGTAAGTGAATTCGCCCTTTCAGAACATAAACTTTTATAAGAATGGATTGGATAATATATTTATTTTTATATAGGTGCATCCTTGCGGAAGGTACCGTCATAACACAGTTGTTTTCATTTTGGCCAAGGAATTTAATCTTAAAAACCTACGAACTATACACCGCCTAGATCGTTTAACTTCGGGACTTTTATTATTTGGCAGGAGTCCAAAAAAGGCACGACTATTAGAACACCAAATTCGCAACAGACAAGTACAAAAGGAATATATATGCAGAGTAGAAGGAAACTTTCCAGAGTAAGTTTAAACATTTCGGTGATGTATGTCGTTGTACTTTCTGCGAGCATTTCATTTTGAAAGCCGTTCCTGAGATAATTTTAGTAAAGCTTAAAGCTTTGTTCTCTTTGAACATATTTTTTACAGCCTTAATAAAAAATGTATTTCTCTGTATGAGGTTCATTGGTTATTTTTATTTTTTCTTAGAGGTATAATCGAATGCAACGAGCCCATTGAAGTGGTTAGTTATAAAATTGGCGTCTGCAAGGTGTCACCAAAAGGAAAGGAATGTAAAACAACATTTCAAAAATTATCATACGATGGCAAATCCAGTGTAGTGTTATGTAAACCATTAACTGGTCGTATGCATCAAATTCGTGTCCATTTACAGTATCTAGGTAAGCAAAAGATGCAGAAGTCTAGGCAATTTCTATATAAAATGTTGTTTGCAAATTTAGCATTTGAACATTGGACTCAATAAATATATTTATTTATTATTTTCTCTTCCCTTTAAGGTTATCCAGTTGCGAATGATCCCTTATACAACCATGAAGTATTTGGCCCACTTAAGGGTCGTGGTGGTGATATCGGTGGCAAAACCGATGAAGAATTAGTACGTGATTTAATAAATATTCATAATGCTGAAAATTGGTTGGGAATCGATGGTGATTCGGAACTGTCATTCTTTAAGCCACATAAAGGTGACTGTGAGGTAGACTCGTTGCCTGTTGGTATGGATAAGTAGACGATCGTTCATAATTTGGATAAGCAGCCTAATATTTTTTTAGGTAATCATCCATTATGTGAGGAGGATAACGATGTCATGTCACGTGAAACTTCCCCAATATACTCGAATAGTCCGAGCATCGTGGACATGAATCCCGAAAATGCCACAAACTGTTGTAATGCAGTCGACAATTTAACAAATAAATTAGGAGATATGCAACAATCTTCCGATCAACCCGAAAATGAAGTGCATTTATCAATGAACCATGTGAAGGTATGGTTTTGACACGCTCTTTCACTCCATTCTTTGACATCTGGAGGATTTTTACAACAACATATTAATTGAAATTGTTTTCGCATGTATTCCACGTTCCTTTTAGGTTACTGTTGCAACTCAAACTGATCACGAATCGCCCGATACGACCTTTAACGCCGAAAAAGTTACCTTGGACAAGCATTGTTACGAATGTAAAGTGCGCTACAGAGATCCTAAGCCAAAAGATCTGATAATGTATCTCCACGCTTGGAAATATAAGGTGAATATACTTAAAACATATAAACATATATATAGATACTTGGCGCTATGTACTTATTATATTACCATTTAAATTTTAACGAGTTTCCAGATCCCGTAACAAAGGTAATTATTAGAAGGAAGATAGGCTAATCGGTCTATAGTATTTAGGTAATGTGCGATTAGGTTTCTCTGCTTTGGGAATAAAGGCACAAAGCACAAACGACGACAAGCTTAAAAATCTCCTGCAAGATAGCCAACACTTACTCAGATTAATTTAATAACATTGCTGGTATAACGCCATCTGGACCAGGAGATTTGAAGCGTTGAAATTGTAGATCGCCCATTAAATTGCTATAACTTTCTCTTCCTGTTATAAGACCTCTATACTATTTTCCGAAGAATGGTAAAATTCTTAGTCCACCAAACCGGCTAGAATTTCCTCCCAGGGTAGGTTATTGGACAAGACTTCTCATAACTCGAAAGAAGGGTAATTGTTGGTGTCGTAACATGTTTCTACTTTCCTGTTCTAACTCCAGGTTAAAAAATTGGATGGGGAATATAATCACTCAGACCTGCCTTTTATAAGGTTGGACTTCCTTCTCCATATTGTATATCATACAGACTTCGAGAAAGTCGTAACCCTAGGCAAATGATAAGAGTTTTTGATAGAACAACGGGGATTGAATATTTGTGAAGCTTATTGTAATTGTTAATGCCTGCAGATCTATCATCTGAGAAATGTTTTTGTGGTTACAAAGAGTAAAGCTAGAACAACAAGCAATAAATGCATTTATTTCTATAAAAAGAACAGCGGTCTTAAATTTCGCTATTTTGCAACAACAAAAAATTCATATTCAATGAAAATATTTTCATTTCATATACTTTAATAAAGGAAACAAATGTCAAAGAAAAAATTAAGAAAATATATTTCATTCCATATTTTCATTCATTATGATCAGCGATATAAAGCGAGCGGCTGCAGCTTTGTTGATGCCTAGGAAAAATCTTTCTGCTTCACAATAAGCAGAAGAGTTGGGAAGTGATCTTTGTATTGGTTAAGGAAATTGCGGCATTCACAATATTACCTTCCTACGAAGGGTGAAATACGAAAATTTCCACTAAGCCGCGTATATTTTTAGTACTGGCGAAATCACAAATGCTCGAAAATGGCACTTCCGTCCGTTACATTGATGCTCATATCCAAGATATCGCATATATAGCAAAATATATACAATCTCATATATCAATGAAGGGGGTGTTAGTTAGACCGCTTATAACTCAAGAACGAATGGACGGATTTTGACACTCCTTACAAATTCCAAATGTCCTCTTGCCAGAAAATAAAAAAGTGAATATATGTTTTTTAATTTTTTGTCATTTTTTATCGCATGAGATTTTTCATATTTAAGTTATAATATTGAATTTTCATTTTGGTAAAATTTTTTACCTTACAACACTATTTTTTGGGAGTATCATATTCTCAAGAAATTTTGCATGGGAATAAAGTTGGGGTCAGAATTAACGCCTATTGTTTTTCAAGATGTATCTTTAGGTCTTCAAATGGACGGCCCTTGAATTATATTTAACGGGTAAAATGGACAACAACTTTTGTGTAAAATTGTTCTAGATACCTATCAGCAAGATATAGAATGTAAATATGATGAAAATATCTCCGGTTGAAAAACAAAGGTAACATACGATTAAAATGTGTTTGGACCTAAGGAGGTTTTCCAATACATTATAGTGTTGTAGGGTATCACGTGTTTAAAAATAAAATTATTCTAGATTTAATAACTTCTAAACTCATACCAAAATCTACATTAGAATACACAGAATTTAAGTCAACACACGTTTTACTAAAATATTCGCCCATTGAATAATTCGGGCGGTGAAGGTCGGTATGTAATAATACGCAAAACAAAATTACTATTCCAATGTAATCAACGTAAGCCAAATAGCAGAAATTGTTTTTGCACGGATTCTATTTCATCTATGTATATTGCATATTGAGGATCCCATACAACAGAACCGTTTTCTAATATAGGTCTAACAAGAGTCGTAAATAACTGTTTTCTTATATATGGATCAGAAAATTCTTTGGCTCTCCGTTTAACAAAACCTAGTACACCATTTGCTATATTTACTATTGTTATTATATAATTTTTTATAATCCATCAAGAGACCAACATCGACAAATGAATCTACAGTTGATAATAAATGATCGTCAATATTATATTGCAATATCAGTGAAGAAGATCTGGAGAAGCACATTTGCTTAAATTTAAATCCATACAATTTAACCTGCACCATTGAAAAATTGCTATGTAAATCATTTTGAAGTAAATTAGCTTGTTTATCACAATTATGGGAAATGAATAATCGAATCGAGCAATTTATGGAATTAGGTAAATCGTTGATAATTACAAGAAATAGAACCGGTCCAAGGTGATTTCTTTGAGGAACACCCAATGGAAGGTTAATCTATTTGGATAGATACCCTTCAAACGAAACTAGTTGTGATCTATCTTGTTAGTAAGATGATATCCATTTGATAAGTTTGTGCAGAAACCCATCTAATTTAATTTTTATATTATGAGTTCATAACCCCATCAAAAGCTACACTAATCAGTGTAGATTGTGTCAGTTTGATTACACTGAACAAATCATTTTATCACTGTTGACGTAAATTGTATAAGATTTGTTGTGGTTGAGAGACCACAACGATAATCATGCTGATATGGACTCAATATAGATTGAATTTTGAATGAAATTACTGCAATAATTTATTTTTCGAACAATTTTGGAATGGCACCCTCTATAATTTGACACATTTGTAAGACTACCAGACTTATGTAAAGGAAAGTGACCAAATTTAAGTGAATATTTAAACAAAATAGTAAAAGGGAGTGTTAATATGTTTGTCATCCGGGCTAAAGGAGAAGGACATACAAATTTGATCAGTCTGTGGCAACTTATAAGGATATGAATCTTTGATTTGGCAGGATGTTCTGGAATAAGTTTTAGCAAAAAAAATCTGCGAAACATTCAGCAATATCTGTGCCTGTGACAAATTCCTTATTGTTACATTTCAATACTGAGAGCTTTGAGAAAACTTTTCGTTTTAGGTTAACGAAATCATAAAAAATAGGATTGGATTTCAAATTATTTTTAATTTTGTCGAGGTAACGATTATACAATCCATGGTACAATGAAGAGAAGGTAGGCCAAGTTTGAAAAAATTGCAAGTATAGAGGTCTACCTGTTTGGCTTGTAATGTCAGAATTAGTATCAAAACAATAAAAAAAATCGTACAACTTGTTGCATTTATTTTGAATAAATAATTGAAAACCGCGAAAACTGAATGAAAGGTCAACACTTCTTTTTAAAACCAGGTTCTATATATCTATAAAGGATTATTTCGCTACAAAAACTCTAGATTTTGTCGATGCATACGATGAAATAAACATTTTGAAAACATCCGAATTTGAATGTTTTCTGAACAATTCTTTGTTATTGGAAAGAAAACGCATACATAAACAAATAAAGATGACATATTAAGCCAAGAAAATGAAAAAATTGAAATCATATGGTATCATAGCCCTACCTTGATATCATTGTACCATGATACAATCTACGATACTCTAAAGTGTATTTAGACCTAGCAACGGAGTAATTAGTATAGTCTATTGATAATCCTAAAATTTTATATTTATGAAAAAGCTTATTATTAGAATTTTTTAAACTTGTTAACTCAGGTGTTATCCATGGATATTTATTGAAATTTTTAGCTCTAACAGTTGAAACGCATTTTAATCTATTTAAAATATCATAGGCCCAATGTATGGAGGAAATGAGGGTATTGTGTTTTCGAAAATCAGTTTTTTTTATAATCAAGGATAGTTTTAAATTAATCGAACTAACTTTCTTCAATTACATAACTGTGAGTCATGGAGATATATAAGGATGGATGGTATATATCTTCAGGAGTGCATATTTGAGGAATTCTGAATATTTCAAAATGACTAGTCGTAGCGTTGGCAGAATATGGAAAAGGCGGCAGTTACAAACGACACACCTTAGAAAATGTCATTAACTTTGATATATGTACGGGAGAAAAACTGCCAGTGTTACAAAAATATAATTTTAATGCAATTTTATGAAAAGACATTTAAATTTCGATAAATCTGCGATATTTATTTGGATTCAAGCAATAGGGACGGAATATTTAAGTGTCTCTGGTTTTTCAAAAATCTCGTTCAATAATAAAGATATTTTGTCGCCGTCTATTTGTTCTTATAATTTTCATTGAAAAATTTTGACTAACGTCTTGCTAAAAAGAAAGCCTTGGAATTTAGTATATTATTAAAAAAGATCTACACCAAAATCTTCTGAATCGCATGATGCGCATGCGATTTTCAATACAACAAATCAATTCCATTAAATTTTTATGCGCTTTGCGAAATTCTATTTGGCGACCAAGCTGTAGCTTCGACGGCATTTTTTGGTTGCAAAAAAGTGAAATTTCCATAATTTCCAAAAGTGTATACACTTATACGCATGCAATTTCAGAGAAGAGAATTTTAGATTTTTAGTACAGACACATATGTGTGTGCGACTGGGAGCGCCCACACATGCAACAATAGAATGAAGAGTAAATTCCGTAAAAGAGTTTTCCCTCGGAGTAAAAACAAGCTTTGTGCTTTGGTTGCGCTATAACCACTTCGGTTTGTCCAGGCACCCTCATTCTTCAGACACGATGGGTTCTGAATGATATTCATGGCAGTATTCACTGTGTATTCTACTATGATGCGTTCGAGTGAATACTATTCATTCTTGCTTGAAATATAGGCTCTCTTTTGTATCACTGTATCACTAGATCGTGAAGGTCTTTCTAACCTATAATAACAACAAAATTAGCGTTAATGTAGCGTTTTTTATTTGCAAGAAAACTGACTGATTTGTCGAAACTTTTGAGGACTGCTGTGCTAGCGCACTGTTTTTAGCAGGCTGTTTATAGTTCTGATTGTGACTTCATTACCACTTCTCGAAAAGTGTGCAAAAGATTTAATTTAAGAAAAAATAAGTAAGCAAAGGCTATAGTAATGC